AAAATGTTCCATTTGTGCTGATAAAATTCCATAGATGAAGGACAGATGGAAAGGGTTGAAAATGAAGCAACACATTGGGAAAATTCCGATCTTCTTGCCAAGAACTGGATAAAAACCAAGCGTGAAAACGGAGGACAGGAAGAGCCGGATGAAGTACCGATGACTGAGGTTGCCAAAGAAGGGAGGGAGACAGAGGAGGGGTAAGTTGGAGCTGGATAAATTGAGAAGCCAGTAAGGAGCAATCACAAGGACCTGACATGGAGTGGTATTGATGATCAAAATCATCCAGGGAAGAAGTTGAATGGGAGGATAAACATAAAGGTATTTGTCTGTCCAATCCTGAGTGAAAACATCAACAGCCAGAGCAAGAGGACGAGGTACCAGAGAACAAAACAGAGAGAGTTTGTGGTTAAGGGATGTGGCAAATGCATGAATGTGAGGCATACCCCATTGAAGGCAAAGCCATTGGAAAATCATAGTATCAAGAGACCACTCCATCGGATAGATTCTGTCTGGATGTGAAATAAGATCTGCAACAAGATTGAAAGCATCTGAAACATGACACACAAAGATATAGAAATCCTGTGTGTGGGCTCAGAAAAGAAGATCCAACATGTGAAAACTTAGGGATCGAGAATGGGTGCCACGTTGGTGACTGGGATAAGCAACCAATGTGGAATTGTTGGAATGAATCATTACCAGACAACGTCTGGTTAGATAGAGGAAATGATCCAAGGCACAATAGACAGTGAAAAGCTCCAGAGTGTAGATATGATAAGACTTCTTGGCTGCCAACCAACACCCTGAAGCCTCCTGTTGATCAACCCACACTCCCCATCCTTGGAAAGAAGTGTCTGTGAAAATATGTAAATCTGGATGAGGAGGATGAAGCAAGACACTTGCCAACGTGTGGGTCCTGTTCAACCACCAATGCAGATCATCAACTATGGAAGGAAGAAGGATAATAAGAGCCCACAAAGGTTCCCATGCAAGATTACACTGGTGGTGAAGAACCCACTGAAGAGCTTGTATATGAGCATGACCTAAGGGGATAAGTGTGGCCGTGGAAGACCACATCCCCAAAAGTGAAAGAACCTCACAAACTGTAAGAGAGGGAGCAGTAAGAGCATGGTGAACTGAAAGCTCCATTGAACGAAGTTGATGAGGAGAAGGTTGGACCTGACTGAATTGGATGTTGAAGAAAACACCCAAATGGATCAGATACTGGGTAGGTCGAAGGAAAGACTTCTCCAATTTGATTAACCAGCCCACTTGAGCCACCTACTGGAGCAACTGAAGAGTATGACAGACAGAATCCTGTTCAGAACGAGCTCACAGTAGCCAGTCATCCATATAATAGTAAACATGCATCCTGAGAGTATGAAGATGACGAGCAAAAGCTCAAACCACCCACCAAAAAACATATGGGGCCAAAGCAAGCCTGATGAGTAGTGCACAAAACTATTAAATCACCCAACAATGGACAAACTGAACATATGGTCGTGACTGCTGAGCAATTGGTATATGTAAGTAAGAATTTAAGACGTCCATCTTGGTCATCCATAAAACTGGAGAAAAAGCCTACCTGAGGGTGAGAAATGAGGTACCATGGTAAAATGAGGGAGATTGGGAAATTGATTAAGGTGGGACAAGTCTATGACAGGCCGCCAGTCTCTGGTTTTCTTGGGGACAACAAACAGCCTGGAATAAAAACCGGAAGAAAGATGATTCACAGATGAACTGCCCCAGAGAGATACTGGCTGGTAGTGGGATCCCAAGGCAGAGGGAAGCAAATGGGTATCTGTGACAAAGGAGGAGGGGAAGGAAATGTAGGACAAGTCCCTCTGAGAGAACCCAAATAACTCACTGATCTGTGACGAAATATCACCAAAGGGAAACAAAGTTGCACAATCGAGCTCCCGGTACTGTTGGCTTCATGCTGATCTATGTCAAAGAAATTGCTGAGATATGGAACTCCTGGGTAAAGGCTGAGAAGGACTAGGACGGGAAACAGGAAGAGGGGCTTGTCATGATTTGGACTGTGACATATGAGTTACCAAAGAAGAAAAGGTAGAGTGTTGATGCAGAGATTCCACACACGATTCCAATTTGTCTGAGATATGGTCAAAAACATACCTCCTAAAAAAAGGAGCTACACGTATATCCCTAAGATAAGTGGGTGACAAATGAACCTGTGACAAGGCCGCATCTCAACCTAATAGATCCCAACAACAGAGAAACCACATGTGTAAGGTGAGAGCCAAGAACGACAAATGAGCTAACATGGAAGTAATAAGGGAAAGGCTGTCCCTCGAAAAATCCTCAGTACTTCGGTGTTGAGCCTCTGAAATGAGATGTATGATAGATAAATACCCTAAAAGGGAAGTAAGGGTAAGATGAAGGCATGAAAACTAGTCATGGGTTAAATACACCGGAAAATCATGAAGTGCCTCACAAACCGGCAAAATAGACACCAACAACTGAGAGTCTAAGAATGGACAGTCTGCTTGATGGTATGCCAAAGCAAACTGATCTGTAGCCTATGGGGGCCAAGGCATTCTGGCACTCTCAACCAATTGGAAAGCAAAATGCTCAGCATAAACCCTAATATCTGGGGAAGGTGGGAAACTAAAAAAGAAGAAAAACTATTGTGCAACAAAGGAGGACGAGGATTGTAGGAAATCAGGGAAAGGGATAAAACATCACATACCTGAGAAATCATAACTAAAAATGCCGTATTAGGCCTAGCTGATTCCACAGGTAGGGCATAGGAAGACATGGCAAAATCGGGTGGTAGAAAAAGGCTATCAAAATCTTCATCAGAACAAACAGGTTTAGATTGTTTGTGAGGAAGTGGAGCAACTTCGGGAGAAACGGATTGACCCATATAACAATTAATCTCTCAGCGAAAAATCACCAATAAATCCATCAATTAGTTGCCCTCACCCACAGTCAGTAAAAAAGTGCTTGTAGTAGGTGTGAGACCCGAAGTGGTCACATTAACCTCAGAATTCATGGTAAATACTATTAAATCAAACAAACTGTTTGATAGATAAAGACAAACGTGCAAAAAAACAAAAAATTAACACTGGTATGTAAATTGAAAATAAAGGTGGCAGCTGTATAAATAAAAACGATTAGGAAATGACCTCGAGAATAAAACACGAGCATTGCCAAAGGAGAAATCATAATCTGGTAGAATAGAACAGAGGGAGTCACATGCATAACGAGAGTGTATGGCACTCTCGTTGGTGGAGGGTTGTTGCATGATGATTTGCAAGACATACACATTGGAATGGGCCATTTTCAATGGAGGGGAGGCAAAAGGCTTGTGTAAAAAATTTTTTGCATACAGAGAGCAGCACTGAACGAGAATAGCTAATTATGTAAGTGTAGGTGATGTATCATATCATAATTAATAAATTCAAGCTAAATATTGAGTAATTATGATATGTTTCTTAAGCAGAACTTTTCACTATAATAATAACATCCTTCCCCCATGACTTCATTTTTGCATGATGTTAAATTTTTCACAAACATGAATGTATTTTGGTCCATCACCTTAAGATAATTTAGTAAAAATCAATCAAAAATATATTTTTTTCACACATCACAAGTGTAATGTTAGTGTGATATCCCTAACTCCAATAAACCCAAAGGTGATAGCCAATTAATAAATCAGGTTTGGCACACTTAAGGATTGTAAAACATGGTTAATACAGCCACTGCAAAAATGTTTAAAAACTTTTTCAGAAAACTTTGGCAGAAATCAAACTTTTTTCACATAAGAACTGTTAAAAAAAGATAAAAGAAATATTGTACACTCTTCGTTATACTGTTTTTACAAATCATAGAGATCATTATTAAATTTACTACCATGACTATCAAATAGATATATAATTTTCTAAATGCTATATTAATTTTTTATTATTTGTATAAGCTACAGCAAACCATAATAAGTTTATTCTTTCTTTTCATGATGCCAAAACTGAACATTTTACTTGTCTGCTGAAAAGTTTTAAAGCACATTAATTAAAGCATTAAATGACTGAAACACATTTTATAAATACCTATATAAATAATAAATTTGGTGAATAGAGGACAACTTAAGTACCACAAATTACACAGCATCACTACATTAGGCCTGATATTGTTTGTCAAATTTCTCTTGTACCAGGTTAATGATAAGTTGGAATTCCCTGTTGCCATGAAACCAATTTAACTCAGTGACTAATGGCAAATCTAAATATAATTTGGGTTTATGTCTCTTACTTGTAAAAAAAATCACAATTCTGACATCAAGACACAAAAAAACTTTAAATCATGTTTTGCCATAGTTTACACAATACATAATAAATACTGCTTTCATAGAAAAACAAGCTAATCATTTACTTATCAACAATTATACCTCCATGTTAGTCATTAAAAAAGGAAATGTGTAATAATAATATATGAGAAAAAATTCATTACGGTTTGTAAAAATGGTCATACTCATAATTATGTATCATTATATAAAATCTACAGGAATTTGAGAAAAGTAAATGAATAAAATTATAGTTTGCAGTGGTCTTCAAAATTTCATAAAATGAGGTTTGTGAACTTCATCAAGTCCACTTTAGTTAAATTTTAAAATACATAATTCAATATACGTCTAACATTGTAACATTAACATGAAATATTGAAGAATGACAAAAAGTGAAAAGGTTCGTACTAAATCATAGTCCTAATCCGAATAACCATGACCCATGACAACATGATCAGAAAAAACAAAAACAGTGACATTGACAGAAGTGAAGTCAAGTTAAAGATATCATGGCTGCAGATAAGCCACTTCAAACCCATTAAACTATTATAACTATAGTTATGCTAATACTTGTCTATACTCATAATCAATTTGATTTTAAATTTTATTTTATTTTAACACTATGTTGTCTACATTGACTCTCGAGTGATCTGAAAAACAGTTTAGCATCGTAATACCAAATTGAAAACAAACTTACAAAGTAAGGCACTAATTTTTTTCTTTCTTGTTCTAGTTAAATTGTATTTTTTCGTTAATTATATCATTAATATCAAGGCCAAAGCTTTTGGGTCATAACATTTACAATAAATAAACATAATAATTGAAAGAAGCCTATTATTAAAATTAAATATTCTCATACGAAACGTTTTACTTTAGGTCCAACCATATATTTTCAAAATATGCCGCAACTAGCCCAACGCCATCTCTAATTTATAATATTGCATACTTTTCTATTGGAATTTATTTTTAAATGCCTAATTAGCCCATTACTAACCCAAAAGAATTAATTTTATGTTCTGGTTTTTGATACCATATGTTTTTATATTTCTTTTCACAAAATTTAATTTGCTCTGTTTATCATCTTGTCCATGTATGGTACCATTATATAGATTACCATTAATATTGTTACGCCTCCGTTCGTTAGTTCATTTTCCGTAAATTTCTTTCCGATGAAACTTTAGCGATACAAATCCTTTCTTAAATAAAACTGGTTTATTCTTTCTGAATAAAACTTTGCAAAACACATAATTTCCACAGTCGCGCTATAATTCACAACGAACGTCTCACGTGCTCGAATAAACTGTCAATTACACATTGTTGCTGTCACGTCTTGACCGTCTTATATGTACAATAATACCACATCTGGTAAACGCTCGTGCATTCACGAACCTTCGAGAACATGACGTGTTACTAGGGTCACGTGACCTCCGCTATCGTAACACTGCCCCTTCCAGAGTATTGTTCGTCCCGAACAATAGCCACTTACATTAAACAATAAACAATTAAATATAACTTAATTAAATGTACAGAATTTACAAACACAAAATTAAAATTCAACAAAGTCACTTAATTTTACGGGACGTATCTTCTTCCGTACTGGTCTCCGTCTCGTTGGCTGCTGCTTCATGTGGGGTTCATCTGCTTCATCGGGAAACGTCCTATCATTGGTAACAGTCACATCAGTGGTAGTAACTTCATCAAGGACTTCACTGTTTCCCTTCTCAAAACTGGGTAGAGTTTCTTCTTTGACAGTTGCTTTTTCAGGTGACACGTCTTCAGCGGCGTCTTTTGTTCCATTGTTCACTTTGTTCCAATTGAAATGTTCTGGACCGTGATAACGCCAAAGCCTGTTGGCATGCACCACCTTTGGCTTACCTCGCCGAACACATTTTATCCGGAGAGTCACGTCTGAAAGACGATCCACTATGTCATATGGGCCTTTCCATGGAGATGACAACTTTGGAGACTTCCCTTTGGTCTTCCTGGGATTATACAACCACGCCTTGTCTCCT